GTTCCAAGAATTAAGGAGTTCTAATTTCTTACATACCTAGGGTGGTGGCTTTTTAAAACCTTGAGCCCTTTATCTTATTATGAAGTTAAAAAAAGGGTGGGATTGGGGCAGGAATAAGGCCTATGCTAAAGAGGGCACTATCCAACCACTCATTGCTGTTTGGAACCAAGTGACTCCGAGACCCCAATTCTTCACATGCTTGGGAGTTACCTGCACCCGAGGATTCAGCCCAGGAGTCCTCGAGGTCACTGGATTCTTGCATCCGGTCACTGATTCTCAGCTGACAATCCTCATCTGATTCCTTAACTGTTTTCAAGATAGTCTGACGATCAGCTGTCTGATTCCTTTTTGCTTTCAGAATGCTGGTTCCCTCTTCCCCTGGGATGTTAGAGGCAACTAAGTTCTGATCACAGTGCTTGGCCCAAGCAGCAGCCTCCATTAAGTTGTCTGGGTCAGTCACTATCTGATTTCGGAGAAGCTGATCCAACGTATCATAAAATGGACAGTGAGGTGGATCACCCATACTTGTGGCATGTGCAACATAGGCCTTTAAATATAATGCCTTCAGAACTTTAAACTTGGAGCGGCACTGACGTTCGGTGCGGCGGAAGCCTTCCTGCTGCATTCGCTTAGACACAGCCTGATAGACATCTGCATTATGATGCACAGTCTGGAGACGTTGAATATACTCTGCCTCGCCTAGTATGGAGAGAAGAGTTCGTGTCTCCTGTCTGGACCACCGGATGCCCGCACTGCTATTAGAAGTGGCCATAGTGGGTTGGGAAGGAAGGAAGGAAGGCTACTGAAGCAAGCTCCTGGCAGCAAGGTGCAAATTTGAAGGTGTGGGGAAGCTCTGTGTACTCTCAGTACATTTCCAGGAGCCAGCCGATTCTTCCCTCTCAGGGCTAATTGTTGAGATGCCAGGTCCAAGGACCGCATTTCTGGCTGGAAAGCCACAGGGGAATGAGAGTTACAGGGAGGGCAGCAAATTAAGTAATGCTACCTGTGAGTAGATCATAAATAGGCATGAGGCCAAGACTGAGAAAGCCCAACTTTGGGAGTTTGCCCAGGGTGGGTACTGGATCAGGGGGCTTCACAAAAAAACTGGCTTCCCCACAAAGAGCCAAATGCTTTCAAGGTTAACACCTAGTACAATTATGGGTCTGTAAAAAATCCCCATCCTCTAGTAAGTAGACAGGCTAAAGAGAAAAATACCCTGGACCATGAGGTAACTAACTCTAGAGAAGTACTGGCAGGACCAGGGTGTAAGCAAAATATATCTGAAGGATACTTGTCCTTTACTAACCTTAACCCAACTAACATGTTGTGGCTATTTGTTATCCATCTGACTGCCACTATTGCACTTCTTTACTAAAAGGTTACTTTCAGGGCCAGAAAAGTTGAATTTAAGTTGTTCTGCTAATACAACACTTTCCGCATAACATGGCAGAAGACAGCTACTTCATTACTCTAACCATCCACCCCCAAAAAGCAGAATAAAAGAAACAAAACAAAATACACCTATATATTATTGGCTACCAGGCAACAGATCTATGCAAATATTCTGTATCTTGGCTATATCAGTATCTTGATTGTGATATTGTCCTACAATTATGCAAGAAGTTACTATTGGTGGAACTGGTAAATTCAATAATATGCCTCTGTTTATTTCTTATAACAGCATGTAAAAATGCCTGTTTATTTCTTATAACAGCATGTAAAATCACAATTATCTCAAGAAATCAAATTGTTGGCTTCTCAGCAATTCCGACTTCAAGACCTATTATAATCACTTGCTTTTTTCCAGTTCATGATTTGAAAAATATTTGACACTAGCCAATTTGTTTCTAGCATGCTTTGAACTAAGTTTTACCAACAGGTAAAAGGATATGGGAATAAATTTTTCATCACAAATATCTGAATTCTCTCCAAAATGCTATAATTTTTGGCTTAGTCTCTGGACATCCTAAGGTAAAAATATCAAGTTGTATTTAATTAAACACAGGCAAGAGATAATTTTATAAAATCCTGCACATGTAATAGAAATAAACATCAATCTGTAATCTCTAAATCTTAAAATCAACACAAGGATATGTCCACTTAAATTTTCATTAGATAAAACAGAAAGTCAAGGGCTGGGGGTATAGCTCAATGGTAGAACAACTTGTGCATGTAGCTGGGTTCAATACCTGGCACTAGTAGGGAGGCAGGGAAAGGACAGAACCTGGGGCTGAGGATTAGGAAACCTGAACTGCAGTCTTATCTACTTCACCTTTCTAATTAATTTAAATATGCCACCACTTCCATGTACCATGATTTGTTCATCCATAAATGGGGAAGGATAGTACCTGCCCTACCAATTTCTATAGAGATGTTCAGAGGATGAAATAAAATAATAGATGTGAAAGCACCTGAAAATTTAAAAAACACTCTATCAGGTACTACTACTCTAGTGAAGGAAAACCATTAATTATTATGATAATCTATAATTTGAGGAGACAGAAGTCTGAGGAAGCAAGCCTCTTTAATCTTCTAATTAAAGTGAGAACAGATGATTAACCTGATTCTTACATAAGACATTAATTAAGCTGTTTCTCTAATGATTAAATTTGAAAGCCAACTGGAAAAGTCAGTTCCCAGAAAGTGTCAGAGGGCCTTAAGAAAGAAAATCAATAGCATCTACATAAATTATGACCAATTATAATGGATCTTGAAAAATCCAAGCACCATGCAACGAAATCTTCAAGTTCCCACAAAATCTTTCAAGTTCCCTCAGTTAAGAAAAATAATAATTATATAAAAATGTGAAAAGTCCAAATTACCACCTCTGGCACTCAATACCAACAGATCTGTCAGCAAGAAATCAAATATCTAAGTGAATTTCATCCTTGATAAGATCCAACAATAATAATCAAAAGAAATAGTCCTACTGGGGTAGTCTCAAAGGACTCAGTCATAAAAAGCAACAAAATAACAAACTGTTAAAGTTCCATTTAACTTCATATTAAGCCTAGAATTTATAAACATGTTTTTGTTACCATATTTAAAAGTATCATTTTGTATCATACCTTCTGCCAAGGATCTGCTTTACTTTCATTACTGTATTTGAAATATTTCTTATTCTACTTTGTTTTGCTGCCAATCCCACCACCTGAAAAAGAGCAACATATATAATGCATGTAATTTTTCATTATTTCTAAATACAAAAATGAGGAGAACTGTACCTCTTCGTTTTCTGAGTAAGCAACAACAGCTGGAGTAACTCTATCACCTGCATCATTTGCAACCACACCAGCCCGGCCATCCTAGAGAAAAACACAACAGTATTAGTTTTTTTAAAATAAATGTGGGCCAGTATTTGCCATCTAGATGGAAAGAAAAGTTACTATTATCAATATTTTAAAATGGTAGATGTAATTACCACTACTAATTTCCTAGGTTTTATGGTAGGTTAACTTCCATGAACAAATGCCTCCGTTTTTCAGTCTGCTCTGCAAAGTCAACTATTGAATCAAACATAATAACAACCTTGCTATACAAGATAATAACAAGCATCTATTACATCAGGCTATCTATCTCCTACAAATACATCTTTCTTCCCTTTTCCACAAATGAAGTAGTACTAATCCCTGTGGACTTTCCTTAACAAAACATTTGACATTTAAATGCGGGACTAGGAACAAGGGAATTCGTTATTATTTTCCCTCTATCTTGTTATTGATGAGAGAAAGGCCACAACTCCTTGTTGAACTCTCAGAAAGCCCATGTCCGAGGAGCACTTCCGATCTAGTTGCTTCACAGCCAGGCGCGCGGGGCTCACTTCCAGATCTTCGCACCCCTTCCCTCTGGATCCCAGACACAAGGCCAAACTCAGCAAGTCCTGTGGCCCTGACGTCAAAAGGACTGCCCACCCCTAGGAATCCTGAGATCGTGACGTCACAGAGCCCCCTCTGAGCATCTGCAGCCCTGATATCACTAAGACCCCTCCAGAATCCTGTGGCCAGGACCTCACGGGGATCCTGCGGTCTTGATATATCCAAACATCTCTGCCTCGGGGATTCCTCTGGGTATTCTGAGGCACTGAGGTCTCCCGAAACCCTCTAGGCATCCTCTGACCACATCCCCGAGACCTCTCCAAGCAATCCCTACAGTTACGAAATCTCCAGGCCTCCTCCGGGCACCGTGTGACCCTGACATCCTTGGAACCCCTCTGGGCATCCTGCGGCCCTGTAGTACCCGGAACCCTCCCGGCTTCCCTTAGCTCCGACGTCCCCAGGATACCGTTGGGCATCCCCGAAACCTGAGCATCTGAGAAGACAGAAGCCTCAACCAGGGCGCAGCGGGCTTGCCAAATAAGCCGCGGGGGACGAGGCCGGGCCTCCTCGGCCCTTCGCCTCCAAGCGACGTTTGTAGGCCGTCAACTCGGCGTCTTTACCTGTGTATAACTCGGTGCCGAGAACGGGGTACCTGACATGAAATCCATAGCCCAGCGTCCTCGGCGTCTCACCTTATAGACGGCCACACAGGCTGATGTGCAGCCCAGGTGGACTCCGATGGCCGCCATGAGGCGGCAAGGACAGCGGCGGCAGTAACTAAGGGACCCCCAGAGGCAACAGCTACCCGCCACCGAACAGCCCCATCAGGCACCGCGGAGACTTCACGTTCCCGCCCGCCCACTGCGTCCGGTCTGTCGAGCCAGCCTCCCGCATTGCCACCAATCAGCGTGAAGGTCCTGCCTTCCTTTCCGAAAAGTCAGCGAATGGCTTTAGTGCGTCTCTCCGCGCTCCCCCGAGCCGCACAGCGCGTGCGATAGTGCGCACGCGTAAACTGGTGAGGGACAGGAAGAGGGTCCTCAGCTCCTCCCCCTTTCTTGTGCCTTTCACAAGAGCCAATAGAAACTCTGTATGGAGTTGCGTCTTTTGTCCTAGCAACTCTGGGCAGATTCTTTCCAATCTCTTCGGGAGGTCCTGTAGAAACGTTAGGAAACGAGCGAGTGGTAGAGGCGATTAGAGCTGCTGGTTCAGCATGCGGTGCGCTAGCCCCGCTGCCGTGATGGCATTTTGTGCTGGGCTTTGGGTCTCGAACCCGGTGCCGGCCCAAGGCCAGCAGGCGTGGGGACGGCCGGAGACTGACTGTGAAGGTGAGCGGTGTGTGACCTGCTTGCATGGCGGCGGCACCGCGCTGCAGCTCTGCTGTTGTGGGCTTTGGCTTCCTCAGGCCCCGACTGTAAATAACATTTCTCCCAGTAAATACAGGCCCTGTTCTTAATTTCAGAACTCCTTAGCCAAACTGTAGGCAAAAGCTTGAGCCAAGCCCAATGACACCTTGAGGCCACGTTCTGGTTTTGCTGAGAATACTAAATAGCCGCAGTAAAGACTGGTGGGTTGGGATTTGGATTAGGTTTTATGCAAACGCTGCTAGATTCTGATGACCCTGGCGCCAAACCGATTCTCTTGCTTCTAACCAACATGCCTCTCTCTGCAACAGAAAACGTCTTTCAAGTTCAAACTAGTTTGTGACTCCCAAAAGAAAAATAAAACATGACATGAGTTGGAGTGGTGTAACTCAGAGAACATAGCTAACATTACCTAGAACTTTATATAAGTAAACGTTGCTTTACAAAGGCATGCACAAAGGAGTGTATTAACTTCTTGAGAAAGAGAAGATACACAGCAACAGCGAGGCGCTAAGCAACTCAGTGAGACCCTGTCTCTAAATAAAATTCAAAATAGGGCTGGGGATGTGGCTCAGTGGTTTAGAGCCCCTGAATTAAATTCCTGGTACCCCCCCCCCCCCCCCCCCCCCCAAAAAAAAAAAGAAGAAAAAGAAGATTAAAAAAAGAACGACTCCTTTTTTTGTTCTGTTTCTTAGTTATGGACTTGCAGCCCAAACACCTGGATCTATGTCCCACCAAACTCTCTGACTTTGAAGCTATCATATCTGTTTTTTGCAAAATCAGCATACTCCACGTTAGAGGCTGTTAATAAGAACAAAGATAATTAGCTATGCTAACCCCTTCCTCATGATTAACTGTAGCACTTACCTCCAGGATTTATTGAGATTATTACTTTAAATGTATGTCTTCTAAGCTTGAGACTATTCACTGACAGTAAGTTCACAATATATGTTGCATAGATGGATGAGTATAGTCTATATTATAAGTAAATAAAATCTTAATAATTGGAGTCTAGCTTTCTACCAGCAATAATTAAACTTTTCTCTAGAAATTTGCATATCTACATGATGTTATCTTAAAAACTTCATTCTAAAGATATTTGTTTCACTGAGTTATAAGCCTCTTATTAACCACTTAATTTCCCTTCAGTGTATAAGATTAAAATGCTATATCATAGTATGTTTAATAGAGCAAACATAAAACCATCTTGGACCTATTGATGGATTTCTCTTATGTGAACTTAAAAGAAATTTTACAGGATTCACAAAGAATCCTGTAAAAAACTTACTTTGCTACATTTTAAAATTGGTAGGTTTTATATAAAATATTTTCAGGTTTTCTGACTTTTCTTGAAAAACCAGATGACCTACCTGGGCATGGTGGCACACACTTGTGATCTCAGCCGCTCAGAAGGTTGAGGCAGGAGTAGTTCAAAGCCAGCCTCAGCAAAAGTGGGGTGCTAAGCAACTCAGTGAGACCCTGTCTCTAAATAAAATACAAACTAGGGCTGGGGATGTGGCTCAGTGGTCAAGTGCCCCTGAGTTTAATCCCCAGTACCCCCTACAAAAAACCAGATGACCTGGCAAGATTGTCCCAAATGGCCATGTATTGAGAACTGACTATGGCTGTTCTTTTTAGGAAGGACGTGTGTTCTACAGATTTTTGAAGGTTTTTTTCCCCTGAATTCTTATTCTCTCTTTCATTTTTCTTACCTGGTCCCTGTAGATATTTAAGTTTGTGATCCTACATTTAGATAATGTAGGGCTTATTGGAAAACAAATGTTTCCAGATCTCTTTTAAAACATGATTACTACTATAGGATTGTTTTAAAAACTTATTTTGAAATAATTATAGATTCACTTATGGGATTACTTTTAATAAACAAACAAAAGAATGTGATTGTTTGAGGCTATTTTAGCAATATGCCATGAACTTTTAAGTTACTGACCTACTAGGTGATCATGGTGAGGATATTCTACTTAAGTCCAAGGAATGAACTTAGACTTCTCTGTGGCATGTGACACCATTGACTTCTTCCCCATTCAGAAAGTCTTTATGGTCTAGATTCTGCTTTTTCACTCATCTTTACTTCTTATCTTTGTGCCTACTTGTTTAAAGTGTCTTTCTGGGCGCTTAATCCTCTAGAAATGGCTTAAACATTAAAATTGTCTGGAGTTCTGCTCTCTTCCCTTCTCTCTTCTCAGTCTACACACTCTTCAGTGTAATCAAAATCACAAAGGAAAGAAATATTTTGTAACAAGATCTAGATTCAAGATCTAGTTCTAGCTCTATTACTACTTATGAGTCTTTTTTTATTAGCCACTTAATTTCTCTTCAGTATATATGATTAAAATGCAAAATCACATGTTTGTGAACCACCTTGGACATAGAGTTCACAGTTGTTCTTGTTTTTATTTGATTGGCTACATTTTAAAACTGGGAGATTTTCCATTTAAAAAATTCAGATTTCTGGCTTTCCTTGAGAAACCAGATGACTGGCTAAGACTGACCTTTCAGTATGATAAAGTGTAAATCTCCCTCTCCAATCCACATTTTTTCCTAGAGTTCCGACCTTGCAGTCACTGGACTACTGAACAACTGCATACTTCAAAAGAACACGGTCAAAAGCTAAGGTGGTCATCTTGCCACCTTCTCCTCCCCCATCCCTGTTTTGCTTACAGTGTCAGCGTGAGTCATGTCCCTGACTAAGTGGTCTGAATTCTAGACTTCTCTTTTTCCCTTGTCCCTTGCAGCCCACCAGTCATTTTGTCCATGAGCTTGACCTCTTGATGGACGGCTCCATTCTCCTCCCTGGGTTCCAAAACAATCCCATCTGTTTCCACCACCTTTTTCCTCCTGTCTAGTTCCCTAGCAGTGTCATCGTGTTCCTACTTGTTTAATGTCCTTTACTGGTTTCCCAGTTTCCACCAGGCATCATCTTCTTTGTTTTCCATAGTATCTAGTAGCCTGCTCATGTGGTTCACTAATTGGGTTTCCTCCAAGTAACTGTGCCCTCTTAAAAAGTCAAGACTTGCCTCTCACCAGAGCGTTTCCATCAGCTACTGTGGTGCATGGCATAGGACCCACACTCAGTTTGTTAAAAAACTGTACACATCTGTGCTGTGACAAACTTTGGTGTATCTTGGTTCGTTAAATGAAAAAAAAAAAAGTACATGTATAACGGCATAATTTGCCGTGAACATACTTTATGTACAGAGATACGAAAAATTGTGCTATATATGTGTAATAAGGATTGTCATGCATTCCACTGTTGTTGTGTATTTAAAAAAGCACATGTTAGAATTCCTGACAAACAAATTTACTGCACTTACTGCATTGCCAGTCATATAAAAGTATAGCACATACAATTATGTACAGTACATAATACTTGATGATAATAACACTGACCCTTTGGTTTTCATCCTGACTCACTACTTGGTCCTTTCAGTCTTTCTGGTGCTTTCCCATCTTCTCAATTTCTCTCTCTCTCTCTCTCTCTCTTTTTTTTTGGGGGGGGGGGGGTTTAGGAATTGAACCCCAGGGCATTTTACCATGAGCTGAATCCCAGTTCTTTTTATTTTTTTATTTTGAGACAGGGTCTCACAAAGTTGCTGAAGCTGGCCTCAAATTTGCAATCCTCCTGCCTCAGCTTCCCAAGTTGTGTCCCATTTTCTAAACATTGGAGTTTCATAAGAATGAGGCCTCGGACTATGTCTCTTGTCCATTTCCCCTTACTCTCTAGTCTCAAGAATATTGTTTGAATGTTGGTAACATAAATTTACATATCATCCTAAACTTTAACCCTGATCTCCAGATTTATAGTCATGTGCCACATCAGAATGTTTGAGTCAGCAACAAACTGCACATATGAGGATGGTTCCATAAAATTATAATGGAACTGGGAAATTCCTAGGTACAGTGACATCATAGTACCTGGCGTTACTCACAAGTCTGTGGTGATTCTGGGGTAAACAAACTTACTGCACTGACAGTCATATAAAAGTATAGCACATCCAATTATGTACAATACATAATACTTGATGATAATAAATGACTATGTTGCTGATTTATGTATTTACTATATTTTATTTTTTATCATTATTTTAGAGAGTACTTTTTCTATTTATGAAACAGCCTCAGGCAGGTCTTTTAGGAGGGATTCCAGAAGTCACTGTTATCAAAGGAGGTGGCAGCTCCATGTGTGTCATGGCCCCTGAAAACCTTCTTGTAGGAAAAGAAGTGAAGGTAGAAGACAATGATATTGATGATCCTGAGCCTGTGTAGACCTAGGCTGATGTGTGTATGTGTGTCTTAGTTTTTAATGAAATAATTTTAAAAAGTAAAAAGAAAATTAACCAAATTAAATCTTGTAGAATAAGGGATTTAAAGAAAGTATTTTTGTACAGCTGTACAATATGTATGTGTTTTACACTTAAGTGTTATTACAAAGAGTCAAATAGTTTTTAAAAAATCATAGTGAACTAAGGTTATTTTATTACTGAAGAAAGGAAATTTAATATAGTCTAAATGTATGGTATTTACAAAGCCGACAGTAGGGTACAGTGATGTTCTAGGATGTCCTTCACTCACCTTTTACTCACTAACTCAGAGCAACTTCCAGTCCTGCAAACTTCTATGTAGGTGAACCATTTTTTCCCAAATCTTTCTTTATATTAAAAAATATATATAGAACACAATACCCTTATTTTATTATTATTATTATTATTATTATTATTATTATGTGGTGCTGAAGATTGAACCCAGAACCTTGCACGTGTTAGGTGAGTGCTCTACCACTGAGCCACAACCCCAGCCCCAAATCTTTTTGTTTTAAATATGTTTTTAGTTGTAGATGGACACCATATCTTTGTTTATTTATTTATTTTTATGTGGTCCTGAGGATTGAACTCAGTGCCTCATATGTGCAAGGCAAGCGCTCTACCACTGAGCTACAGCCCCAGCCC